CTAATCGAGAATAAAACTATTGTTTATCACTAGCACACGACTTGAGGTTTGTAACCTATCGTGTTGACATATTATTGTTTTTGTTCCCATTCAGGTTAAAAGTTGACTATGGATGTGAGTTCTATGAGTTCTCAGTTGTTTGCATAACTACTTGGAAGCAATGGTAGGCCCTTGTGCTGCCGGGTGACAAGAAAAACTAAGATTAAATAAGTTCAGTCTATATGAGTTTGGATTTGTCACTAACCTTGTCTTGTGATTATGGTTATGACAAATTCACATGGATAGGAACACATACACCATAAAATCTAAATGTCATAAGGTTTCTCTCCGATTCATGAAAATGATGGTGAGGAAACGCTTTCTCTAAATAGATATTAGGTAGATAGCAATTGTGATATTTTCATTCTCAAAGGCGTTAGTGGAGCGTGTGTGGTTAACCGGCACACTAACATTGTCTTGTGAGAAATGGAAAAGGTCTAAACAATTGAGAATATGATTACGGCATCCCTTTTCATAATTCTAAAAAAATTGTTTAGACACACATGTGAGCTATCTAAGAAAATATGTATGAGTTTGATAAAGTTTTATCAAAGCATCTCGTATCAGAAATCTGAATTTTGGTAAGAAAGTCAATAAAGTATTGATTTCTAGAAGTCCAGCTAATTTCTGAGTACATGTCAAACGTAGTGGGAGCATAATTGTTATGCTAGTAATTATTATGCTAGTGTGAGCATAATCAATTCTGATGAGTGGTGCAAGTTATCAATGTTAATTATAGAAAACAAAACTTTAAATTGGGAAAAAGTTGTTTTGCTATAATTAAAGGAGAGGAAATTATACTTCATTTCAATTGTAAAAGCTTAAATTGAGATTTTAATCATCTTTAGTCAAGGATATATATATATATATATATATATTATATATATATATATATATATATATATATATATATATATATATATATATATATATATGAATTTAATGTTGGAATGGTTCAACATAAGGAAGTTCTATATATATTGCGTTCTCAAAATTTGATTATGATTACGGCATCCCTCTTCATAGTCGAATTATGAAAACATGGCAAATAAAAAGTATATTGTAGCAAAAGACCGGTCTAGGATCATGTCTTTATGTGAGACGTCATGAATCGTGTCTTATATGCTTCGGGTATAGGATCGATTACATGTGCTATAATATTCATCTGTTCTAAATTTTTCCAAATGCCTAGGGCATTAAGAGGGAAAAAAAGTACTAGAACTATTTATGACTAAAATGATTAAGAATGTGTCGAGGACAATCTGAGGTTTACCAAAGATTAGTTGCTCATGTACAATTGGAAGTATAGTGTTAATTTTGGAAGGACCATATTGACATATTCTGAAAGGAGGCAACTCTTGTTCAGAAGTGATAGTCACAATGGGAATGGGAAATGTTTCCATAGGTGGAAGTTATTCATTAAATATGTGTAAGATTAGAAAACTTAATGCAAGAAGGATGTTCAAAGGAATGTACTTTGAATTTGAGACTTCGTTTCCATGGAATTGCTCTCCATTGGAATACTTTGTAAATGTGTGTTGCTAAGTCTTTGTGACTTTTGTGCATAGTCATTACAAGAGGATCAATGCATATAAGTTTAGAATCTAACAGATTTCAGTAAATGGCAAAGAATCTTGTATTCTTACATTTGTGGTAAGGATTTGGGATTGTTAAATGAGCATCATTGGAATCATGTTCAATTGGTCTATTTCACAAAGTAAGGATCATAGACAAACATAGTGTGCATACATGGAGTATGGCATAACTATTGTTTGGACAAACATAGTGTGCATGCTTGGAGCATGGCATGACTATTGTCTCAGTTCAAGTATTAAGTTGATTATTTGAAACATTATACAATGAATAATGAGTAATCAATATGGTGTTTAAATAAAAGGTGTTTTATTTACTCTCAAAGGTGCTTGGGGCCATATAGGATTAGTATTATTCTTGTGTTTCACTTTGCACGTTTTGACTTCCCGAATAACTAGGTTATTCAAACTCTCCACATTCAATCATACTTTGGAAGTAGGTATGAATCAAGAATGTCATGAATTGGGCTTGTAGATGTCTAAAGTGTTTAGACATAGAAAAAGTTGATGCAACATTCATGAGAGCTCCTGGAATGATATTCGAGTATTGGATTAAACCCACGCTCATTTGAATCACTTCATGGATTTTATCACGAGTGATCATGGGACGATAATATCTTATATTCTTCAAACCTAGAGATATGATTTGTTGACTATGAGTTGGTTATACATTGATTGTACGAAAACGCATCAGTAACTTGATGTTATAAAATGTGCCTTTGTGTATGATTCAACAAGTAGTTAGTACAAGCATATGAGTCGAAGTTTATCCATTCCTTTTACCCTTGGAAGGATAAAAGCGATATCTGTGGGCCTCTCGATGATTTAGTGATGACAAACGTAAGTGCTCGGCCGGGCCTGGACTGATTTGATTTGTTCAATTAGTCAGTCGTCATAAATCGGAAATCGGGAAACAAGAAATGGACATAGAGAATGATTATAATCCATGTCTCAGTCCATATGATATCTAGAATGGAGGAATATGTGATCCCTTATCTAATGGACATGTCATTGACTTGGTCAGAGTTCGACAGCGGCTTTTAAGAGCTACGATTGCTAGTCGGGAGCTTAGAGTCATACGCAATAATAGTTTTAGACTTATCCAAGTGGGAGACTATTGGATTAGATGTCTAAGCCCATAACTATTATTGGTATGTACTCGACCCGAGAGTAGCATGGTCCATTTGGGTTTGCATATCATCAGGACAATTTGTTAGGATGGACTCTTGAGAGAAAGGTTATATATGATTTATTAATATATTATAAGTTATAATATATAAATATGAAATCATATGTTTTAATTAGTATTGATCAAGAATTAATTTGGAATTAATTTAGTGATCAAAAGAGACTAATTAAATCTATGGGGACTAATTATGATAATTAGTTATATTTATATGTGTTGGGATTATGATCCATCTTGGACCAGGTTTATGTATGGATACATAAAGAGTTGGGCCACATGAACCATGGATCATAAACCCATGGGTATGGATTTGGGTTATACCCATGACCCTTGAAATCCAACATATAAATACAGGCTTTTAACCTAAATTAAAACGCCTACATGCTTGTTATTGGAGTTCATGGGTGGTTTTTGGGTGCATGGAATTCTCTCTCAAGTTCCACTTTTGTCCATGATGTGTTGTGACTTCATTTGAGGCTTCTACACTATTGGGGCTAAGCTTTTAAAGGCCAAATTCATCAAGTTCTACAAACTATACAAAGAGGTAAAACTTCTAACTAGTATTTTATGTAGTTTATATCATTTGTATGCTAGTTGTAGGCTTAAAGCTTTGGAAACAATATTGCATGTATAATTAGGGAAAACATAGATCCAAAGTTTTTAGGGTTGTATGTGCACCAGAGGATGTTGTAGTATACAAAACCCATCAATTTTGGGGTCTACTTACTGGCTCCGGCTGATCGTACGCTCTATCCTCTTTTAATTATTTTGAAAACCATTTGAAAATAATTTTGAAAATCTTTTCCTTTCTTTGATACTGGATTCACACGAGTGTTCCTCCAATTCACTGAAACCAAGGCTCTGATACTAAATTGTAACATCCATAAAATTTGAGCCAATTTAAAACTTTTTCAACCAATTAAAAACCATTAATTATTACAAAGTGGTTTCAAAATATTTTCATGTCAGAGTATTCTAGAAATCAAAATCATAAAATGTAAGGAGTTGTACGATCACGCCTTCTCCTTCCCGCAATCATCTGATGTACCTGAAACAAAAACTAAAACTGTAAGCCCGATGCTTAGTGAGTTCCCCCAAAATACCCATCACTACTACAAAAACAGCCTTTTACGACGCGCAATGCATGTCGTAAAATGCTCAGACGACACGCAAATGTGTGTCAAGGAAGGCCCTGTCATAAAGAGAGACGACACGCTTTTGCACGTCGTCTATTTACGACGTACATTTACGACACGCAGTTACGACACGCATTTACGACGCGCGTTTACGACACGCATTGCGTGTCAATGAAGGCCGTGTCATGAAGGAAGATGGCACGCATTTGCGTGTTGTAACCTTATGACACGCGTTTTGAGACACGCATTGCGTTTCATTAAAGCCCCTGTCATAAAGAAAGACGACACACATTCTTGCGTGTCATAATTTTAAATGTTTTAAAAATTATATATTTTGATAGATTTAGTAATTTTCAAATTAAATAAACACATTAAAAGTCTTATAATACAAAATAAAATACAATAAATAAGAAAGATAATTCATTGCACTAATATGTCAAATACAAATTATCATTCCAATAGTAAGTAAATGTAATACATTGCTAATATTGCAGAATATTTATTAAAGAAAAGCAAAACATGTACAACATTAAAAGGAACCCGTGAGTAATTTATCCTTTGACAATCTTCATGGAAACTTTAAGCCTTGCAACCTCACCATGGTATTGAACTCGCCACCACCGACCTAAGAAAAAAATTGCATATAAATGTTAAAAAACAAATAGGAGCCAATCATTCTAAGAAAAAAACATGAAACGAATGAATAAAAGTGCATTGCTATTTCTTTAATACTTATTGCATAGAGTAAGACTTGACCATCATCCATAGTTTTGAAGGACATTGATGTCTCCTTATGCTGCATATATTAAAAATAAAAAAGAACAAAACTGAGTAACATATGGATTCATTTATCTATCAATTGTATTGTAAATTGTAAATTAAATAAATAAGCATTAAGCATACATACCACTACAGATCCAATGCCAGGAAAAAGGCCTGAGCATATAATGGCTCTAACTAATGATTGATTATGACTCAATCTGTTGTTAATCCCTGATTTAGTCTCACATAATTGAGCATCTTTCAAAATATGGATAAACTGATTCCTTAAAGAATGTATAGCTTGAAGTGTTTGAGCAGAAAGGAAATTCCTCCAGCAATATTCATAAGCAGATCCTTCTCTTTCAACTTCTTTCCATCCTTCATATGCACGCACAAGTGCCATATGATCAATGTAATCCTTTACAGAAAAATCTTGATTTTGATGTACTAGCTTGCTGAAATAGACATACAAAAGATATCAGGAAAAGACCAAAATGCCCTTGTGTGAAAGTAGCTGGATTACTCACGTCTTTCTTCTCTTGAGGCAAAAGAAAAAGATCCTTGACACTAATTCCAGCAACAATTGTAAGAATAGGATCAAAGCAACGAAAAAAAGCACCCATTATCAGCATTTTCCCTAATTTCGGATCCAATGGAAGTATTGCCATATATTTACCTATATTTTAAAAAAATAAGAAAAGATAATCTTAGGAAATAAACTTTTATAAATATATTAATATAAATTAACCAAGATGTGTAAGATTCACAACATTTTGGACCTAGAACAAATTAAAGTTCTATCATTTAGCAATTTGAATCATTCATTAAGATTCAAGTCATCAAGAACAGTTAACACTTACAGCTAATGGCTCTGGAGGCTGCAAAGCAGCTGATAAAAACTCTCCGATACTTCCAACTTCCAAACTTTTTTTGCAAACAAAGAGAATTTAAAGGAGTTCCCCTGGTTGCACACGCCCTGCCCTACCCCTTCTCTAAACCAACAAAAAAAGCAACATAGAAATTAGTCAACTACCTTGACCAACAAAGTCAAAGGGTAAAAAGGTAACTTACTTGGCGAGTAGATGCTTGTGATATCCATGAAGGCAACAAACAAGGAGTGTTGTTCAAGGCATCAAAGGGTAGAACCCATTCTGTAAAATAAGATTATATCATAATAGATTAGTAGACTACAATACATCACTACACCAGTCAATAGAATTAGATAATCAATCGGATTGTGCACAACTGCAGATTTAGAGTGTAAAACATCTAACATGATTAATTGATTACAGATAACTTGATTAACATAACATAATAGATGTCAGATAACTTGATTAAGTCATATTTTAAGATATAAAATTTGAAGGCAAAAATAAAATCAATGAAAAAACATAATTTAATCAAAATTCCACCTCAGCAACAAACGCCAGTATGGCAAGTATAATCATAAGAATGAAAGAATAGAAGCTAGGCAACACAAAATCCTGCAAGAAAAAAACAATTAAAGATATAAGTTGCATTTAGAAATATAATGGTTTTTTTTTCTGTAAATTGCCCTTTAGAAAATATCAAAATCATATAATTTTTTTATAAAATGAATATCTTAATTCAAATGTGATCATGCATATTGTTGCAGCAGGAGTAGAGACTAAACCAAAGGAAAATATAGTCACCCTGAAATAAAAAAATAAAAATAAAAAATAGAAAATTTGTTTAGATAAATATGTTGAAAGTAGATTGCTTATTTTTGTATTTACACAGGTTGATCAGACTGTTTAGCTCCAGCCCTTATAAAACAGTAGCTCATTCCACCAGTCAATGATGATAATAAACCAATCAAAAACACATAAAAATAATGTACTCCATGTACTTGTTGACCTCCCTACACAAGATCGTAGAGATATAAGTTATGTAAAAGGGTATGAATGTCTTTTTGATCTTTCATACTTCCATAACAATAAAAGATCCAAAAGGATTTATTAACTCACTTCTGTACCTTGCACGCTGACCATTGATCTGATGATGAAGATTACACCAAAGAAACTTGAAGCAATTCCTAAGAGAGAAGATGTCAGTTATTCACGATCAGGTTTTGTGTTTTGTCATTATGTAATTGTTACTTTACCATTTATTTCTGCAAGTTTGAAATTCTCATAAAGAATGAATCTTGCAGATATTGAAGCCATTAACAGAATTGTAAAGCTCAAGAGCATGGCTTGAGACAATGGTAATCTCTGAATGCTGTAAAAGAGAAGTGTCATTTAGATATGTGACATCTTTTGCACTATGATGAACATTGATGAAAGTTACTACCAGTAGATGAAAGTTATCAAAGAAATAGAGCCAGTAACAGCTCTTGAAACAAATAGACTCCTGACATTTACAGGTCCAAATAATGGTTGTGAGGTTCTTCTTAACCACATGAATGATGTTATCATGATTCATGGATACGGAATTCTAATATGTACGAAATCAAATATGCATTTCACTTTTCTAGCAATACATAAAAGGAAATCACTAACCAGAGAACACATTAGAAAGAATTGTCATGATACAGTAGACAGAAGACGATAACGCCATGCATACCAAACCAGAATATCTGGATCCACTCCATGACCACATTATGAACTGTGTAAATGGCGATGTTTCCGTTTCAGTTAATCTCGGAATTTGGTCCTGAAACATCCGTAATTAATTTAGCTGATTAAGTCTTAAAAAACAATGAAATCATCAATAGCGAGCTTTAATTATATGAACAACAGACTCGACTCAGATTAATAACCACGGAATTCGAGTAAACTACTACTCTATCGTCATTGAGGGATAAAATTTGTGAAAATCACCTTGTTAGTTTTCCGTTTAGGGTACGAGACAGAGCAACGAACAAGGTAAGATAAATTCATTAAAGGCTATTATAAAAGACGTTTACTATTAGTCCAAATGATTGTTCTTTCCTTCCCACAACTAAAGTGATTTGCATTTACAGTATTTACTGATTTGGGTATCAAGCTTCCCAGTTAGATCTCGTCCATGTTGCAGATCAGATTGAGGAACAATGTACAATAAATACCACTCTCAATAATTAGGGGTAAACGCTGAATACAATGAATTTAAGTTCTCATCTCAAATTGTGGTGTAATAAACTGAGCTCTAATAGAAAGATTTGGGCCAGACCTTATAAAAACATGTATGTAGTCTGAGGAATAGAGTCATCTATCTAGAAAGAAAACGACCACCCACTGTCCCCACCTATCAATAATCCCAACCTCGTTTTGAGGTGGGAGGCTGACATTATTGGTAGGTTGGGACAGTGGGTGGTCGTTTTCTTTCTAGATGGATGACTCTATTCCTCAGAAAAGTGAAATCTTAAATTCAAAACGGTGTCATGATTTCATAAAACCAAAAAGTTAATGATAACAATCTGTGCCCTTACCCATAGTAGGGGTAATTGTCCGGTTTGTAATTCGGCTGCTTTCCGGTGCTTCATGAAGGGCGGCTTCATGTGCTTCATGAGCTCCAAAATGTAATCACCTTTGTCATTATATTTGACACCATTATACCAAATGCATTCTAGATCTATTAACACATCTGTTAAATTCATGTACTTTAGGACATTTCAAAATTGCTACATATTGTACCAAAATCCATTGGTGTATCGATCACATCCAGATAATCCTGGTTCAAAATCCACCCAAATCACTATAAGAATATAAGATTCAATAATGCACAACAGAAGCAAATATTCATAGAAAGAAATAAAAAAGAAATGCTTATAGGAATTGCAAGTTTGACTGGATCTGCAGGTCTGTTAAACTGATCAACTGCATCCAACTTCATGATCTTTTTAATTACCTATAGTAGAAAAAATGACATCCATATGAGTAAATCACTAGAGCCAAGATGCATAATGTTAATCATATGATTAAATAAAGCAACAAAATAAGAATACTCATGGTCCTCATGCAAATATGCTAATACTTTTGCAGATCCTAAAGCAATCTTCATCCTTATTTCCCAATTCAAAGGCCCATGTTCCTTTCCTGCCATGTCAAACTTTCCAGATATAACAACCTATTAAAGCTTCATACATTTTCCAATTTAGCCTTTTTGACTTTTGGAAAAATAAATATCATATTTCTTTTTCTGTAATTCACAAAACAGAGGGTCTGTGGAAGTCTAAATGAGTCAAGAAACTCGTGTTTTGCATATTATCCTATGAAAAACTTTCAGGAGGATTATTGTTTGTAATAAATTATTTAAAAACATTATTTTTTCATACTCTAGAACGATTTTTCATACTCTAATACCTATGTAATGCTAAAAATAGGGAGAAATAACAATTACTGGGATAGTCCAAAATCTATGTTTTTAAAAGAGGCGAATCTTAATGTATATCAAAAAAAAAAGTTTTCAGGTCTAAGATCACGATGTGTTACTCCCAAAGAATGACAAGCTTCAATCAAACCAACAATTTTTTTTATAAAGATCAGTTTCTTTTTTTTTTTCTGAACGGTGCCCTTTTGTGGTAATCCTATCAAAGAACTCAACTTCAGCACAAAGTTCCATCACCAAATGATCTACAACAGAATCTTCATAAGCTCCTTGAATTGAAACCACCAGTATGAACGTGATATTGATTGGAAGAATATTCATAATCCTACTACACACATATAAATAGTCAATAATATGAGCTACCAGATGTCTGTGCTATCCACTTCCTTTTTCACTAAAGTGGTGTGTAGGCATTTAAACAAAAAGTTGGTCTGCAACTGCAAATCTACCAAATTAGAGAAAACACTTATACTAATCAAACCATACGATGTTGATAGAAAAGTTAAAGCAAGATACAAATTAGGGCTCACATTATCAAAAATCAAAAATGAAGTCACCTTTAAGGGAACGTTGGTGGCATACGATGTTGATAGAAAAGATGAATGAAGGGGGTATATTTGGGAAGAACTATAAGATCTCTTGTGGTAGGGAGGCGATGAACAGATGAAACGAGCCCTAACAAATCCAGAGCACCGTGTGGTAATAATGGAGCACAGTAGCCGAACACTTATATGTTTCTCTGTCTGTCAAATCAATGTAGGGTTTGGGGTTTAAGAGTGAAAAACCAGTCAATCGCGTGAAGATTGAAGAGTGAAGTCGAATTGAGGAGAAGTTGTACCAGGTTTTAGGGGAGAAGTCGAACCAATTGGTCTTCTTCACAACCATTACAGGTTGCATTTTTCCGATGAAGTTGTTTTTGAAGATGAACATGAGATGATGGAGCGTCAATAGAGAGAAATGGTAGGGTTTCGGGAGATTTTAGAAGAGAATCAGTACAAGTTATTTACGGAGGGAGGAAGACGAAGGGCGGGGACTTAAAATTTGGGGTGTTTCATTTCCCCGCTTAAAAAGCCTGTTTTATTAAAAAAATTATAAAGCGACACATTTAGATGACACACATTTTATGAAAGGCGTCCTCCGCATTTTCATTTTTTTTCTTTTCTGACACTAATTTTAGGGTACGCACAAATGCGCGTCCTCTATCCTTCATATTTTGCAAAACTGACATTATTTTTTAGGGCACGCACAAATGCGTGTCCTCTATCAGCGCGTGTCATTGTTTG